GTCCGTACTCCGACCGAGCTTGTTGTTCTCGTAGGTGACGCGCACCGGGAAGCGCGCCTGGCTGTTGCCGTCCGGGTCGCAGGAGATGAACGAGGGTACGGGGGTCGGCTGGATGGAGGGGAGCGGCGTGGGAAACCCGGTCGGAGATGCCGACGGAAGCGCCGACGGGCTCGGAGTGGGGGTGGGCGACGCGGACGGCGTCGACGACGGCGCGAAGCTGCGGCTCGGCGTGGGAGCGTGTGTCGGGACCTGCAAGGGGAGCCGCGGTAAGAATAGGATGCCTCTCGAATGAATTTTGCGCGAGACGCCGGTCCGCGCCGACGCGGGAATAGGCGTGGGAGATCCAGTCGGCATCCGGGTAGGACTGGCGCTCGGACTCGACGACGGAGCGCTCGTGGGAGATCCAGTCGGCGTCCCACTGGGACTCGCGCTGGGACTCGCACTCGGCGTATTCGTCGGCAGGAAGCTCGGCGCGGCCGTCGGGGCGTGCGTGGGAACCTACCGAAATGAGTCAACGCTGCGTCAGTGAGATGCGCTACGCTCACCGATGCGGGTATGCGGGTAGGACCCGGCGACGGGAACAAGCTAGGATAGCTTGTGGGAGCCGCTTTCGGCTCGGCCGTCGGACACGCAGACGGACTCGCCGACGGACTCGACGACGGAGCACCGCTGGGCTCGGCGGTCGTCGGCGAGCGCGTCGGCGCCGGCGTGTGGCTCACCTCAAAGTCCGCGGAATCGCCGACTTCCGGAGCGTCCTCGCAGACGACATCGAGCGTGTAATCGTCGACCTGCGCCGCGTCCGCGACGTTGACCTCGCTGTCGCCGTCGTTGGCCACGCCCGTCTGCGTCGCGACGACTTCGCCGTCGCGCAGCGCGACCGTCACCTGGACCGTCGCGCAGGCGTCGGCGCTGCCGCGGTACGTCCACGTCGTCTCGCATGCGAGGCCCGCGACGCACGTCCAGCCCGTGCCGATGCTCTCGATCTGGATGAAGGTCGCGGTCGGCGCGCTGGAGGGCAGGGCGCTGGGGCTGCTCGACGGATGCGGGCTCGGCGCGCCGGAGGGCGGGGAGCTCGGGGACGAGGACGGCGCGGGCGTTGGGTGGGCCGAAGGTGTCGCGGAGGGAGTCGCCGAAGGCGGTGGAGACGGCGCACCGGTTGGGTGCGCGGACGGACGCGAGCTGGGGAGCGTGGTGGGACAACCAGAAGGCGCGCTCGAAGGGATCCCGCTCGGTGCCGCCGTCGTAGGCGTCTCCGAGGGCGCCGGACTGGGCGCCCCCGACGGCGCGCTCGACGGCCCCGCCGACGGAGGCGAAGTCGGCGCGGCCGAGGGACACGCGCTGGGTGCTGCTGTCGTTGGCGTTTCCGTAGGAGCGCTGAATGGCTGCGCGCTGGGCGCGCTCGACGGCGCGCCGCTCGGCGTTGCTGACGGAATCGAGGAAGGCGCCGCCGACGGCGCGGGCAGCGGTTGGACGGTGGGAAGCGGAACCGGCTCGGCCGACGGCGGCGACGTCGGCGCGTAGGACGGCGCGGGACTCCTCGGGACGATCGTCGGCTGCGGCAACCTAGAGAGACGGGATGCGTTGGCCTGCCCGGGCGCGGGACGCCGGAGCTCGCGGCGCGTCGGTGGGCTCCTCGGACGGCGCCGGCGTCGGAAAGTACGACGGCGAGCTCGTGGGTGCCCCCGAAGGCGGCAGCGAGGGACTCGGCGACGGGTGGGGCGTCGGCAGCGGCGTCGGCAGCGGCGTCGGCTGCGGCGTCGGCTGCGGCGTCGGCTGCGGCGTCGGAGCCGGCGTCGGGACCGGCGTCGGGACCTGGGCGCGCCGGTCACCGAAAGCAGTCCGCGTCCGAAGGCGCGGGGCGCGCGCGGGCGTCGGCGCGGGCGTCGGGAGCGGCGTGGGCCGGGGCGTCGGCGCCGTCGACGGCGCGGGCGTCGTCGGCGCGGCCGTCGACGGCCGCCGCGTCGCCGTCGGCGAGAGGCTCGGCGCGGCCGTCGGGTACTTGGACCAGGGCGCGCAGACGTTCTCGTACCAGAGCAGCGTGTCGTCCTTCGACGCCGCGGTGAGGACGTCGACGTCGCCGTCGCCGTCGACGTCCTCGCCAAAGACGAACGCGGGCCCGTCCTTGCCGTCGGCGACGACGTGCTCGGCGAAGGACATGGCGCCGTCGTTCTCGTACCAGGCGACCGCGTCGTCGGTGTAGAGCGCGAGCGCGACCTGGGCAGCACAAGGGTGATTCAACGTCGCTTCAACGTGAGTGTTCCGCGCGCGCGCGTAACGAAAAACACATCCACGCTTCGAGACCGTTCCGAGAGATGATCGCTCGTCCAAAAATCAGCCGAAACGAGTGGAAAACGGCCGAGATATGAGCCTTTGAAGTTGGGAATTTCGCTCTCTTGTGCTGCCCCGAGCGCGACGTCGACGTCGCCGTCGCCGTCGAAGTCCGCGGGGAAGAGGAACCGCGCGCCCGGCGCGTGCGCGTCGATGACCCGCTCCGCGAGGCCGACGGGCGCGCCGCCGTCGTTCTCGTACCAGGACGCCGTGTCGCCCTGCATGCACGCGGAGAGCACGTCCACGTCGCCGTCGCCGTCCTGGTCGCGGCCGTAGACCTGCGGCGCGCGGCGCGTTCCCCCCCCCGGCCGAGGATCCCTCGAGCCCCGGGGCGCGGCCGCGGACGAAGCGCGCGCCGCCGCAGAGCGTCGTGACGACGCGCTCCGCGAAGGACTGGGCCCCGTCGTTCTCGTACCACGCGACCGTGTCGTCGTCGGTGGACGCCGACAGCACGTCGACGTCGCCGTCGCCGTCGACGTCGACGGCGAAGACGGCGTAGACGCCGTCGGCCGCCGCCTCGACGACGGCCTTGGAGAAGGCCTCGGCGTCGTTCGCGTACCAGGCGACGGCGTCGTCGTCCATGTTCGCGGCGAGCGCGTCGACGTCGCCGTCGCCGTCGACGTCGACGGCGTAGATCTGCTTCACGCCCGCCGCGGCGCCGTCGATGGCCCGGCCGCAGGCGAAGCTCAGCTGGCCGTCGTTGGCGCACCAGGCGACCTCGTCGCCGTTCGTCGCTCCGTAGACGAGGTCCCAGTCGCCGTCGCCGTCGACGTCGGCGGCCCAGATGGACGCGGGCTTGGCGACGCCCGCGTCGACGACGACGCGCTCCGTGAAGGACTCGGCGCCGTCGTTCTCCCACCAGGCGATGACGTCGTCGCTCTGCTCAGCGACGACGAAGTCGACGTCGCCGTCGCCGTCCGCGTCGAACGCGAACCTGGCGGCCGACGGGTGCGCCCGACGTCCGAGGCCCGCGCCTCCGTCGGTTCCCACTCGGTTCGGCCCGGTTGTGGACGAGCGATCGTCTCTCGACGCGCGGGCGCTCGCTCCGGAACGAACGCGCGCGGAGCGCTCGCGTCGAATCACCCCTCGTCGGCCCCGGCGGCGAACGCGAACGCGGAATTGTCGCACGCGTCGTCGACGAGGTGCTCGGCGAAGGCGACCTCGCCGCAGAGCGCCATCGTCGGCCGCGCGCTCGGCGGCGCCGTCGCGCAGTCGTTCTCGTACCACGCGACCGTGTCGTCGTTGTAGGACGCCGAGAGTGCGTCGATGTCGCCGTCGCCGTCGACGTCGATGGCGTAGACGGAGCGGGCACCGTCCGCCGAGTCGGCGATGACGCGCTCCGTGAAAGACTGCGAGCCGTCGTTCTCGTACCACGCGACCGTGTCGTCGCCGATGGACGCCGAGAGCGCGTCGACGTCGCCGTCGCCGTCGACGTCGATCGCGAGGACGGAGAGGGCGTAGTCGGCGAGCGTCGTGATGATGCGCTCGGTGAAAGACTGGGACCCGTCGTTCTCGTACCACGCGACGGTGTCGTCGAGGCCGGAGGCCGAGAGCGCGTCGACGTCGCCGTCGCCGTCGACGTCGATCGCGAAGACGGAGTAGGCGCCGTCCGCCGAGTTTGTAATGACACGCTGCGTGAAGGACTGGGAGCCGCCGTTCTCGTACCACGCGACCGTGTCGTCGTTGTAGGACGCCGACAGCGCGTCGACGTCGCCGTCACCGTCGAGATCGATCGCGAAGACGGAGAGGGCGTTGTCGGGTGTGCCGACGACGTACTCCGTGAAGGACTCGGACCCGTCGTTCTCGTACCACGCGACCGTGTCGTCGAGGCCGGAGGCCGACAGCGCGTCCGCGTCGCCGTCGCCGTCGACGTCGATCGCGAAGACGGAGTAGGCGCCGTCCGCCGAGTTTGTAATGACACGCTGCGTGAAGGACTGGGAGCCGTCGTTCTCGTACCACGCGACCGTGTCGTCGTTGTAGGACGCCGAGAGCGCGTCGACGTCGCCGTCGCCGTCGAGATCGATCGCGAAGACGGAGAGGGCGTTGTCGGGTGTGCCGACGACGTACTCCGTGAAGGACTCGGACCCGTCGTTCTCGTACCACGCGACCGTGTCGTCGAGGCCGGAGGCCGACAGCGCGTCCGCGTCGCCGTCGCCGTCGACGTCGATCGCGAAGACTGAGATGGTGCCGTCCGCCGAGTTCGTGATGACGCGCCCGGAGAACGAGACGCTCGCGCAGTTGGCCGTCGGCCGCGGCGTCGGCGTCGCCGTCGGCGCGTGCGTGCCGCAGTCGTTCTCGTACCACGCGACCGTGTCGTCGTCGATGGACGCCGACAGCGCGTCGACGTCGCCGTCGCCGTCGACGTCGATGGCGTAGACGGCGATGGCACCGTCCGCCGAGTTCGTGATCTCACGCTCAGTGAAGGACTCGGACCCGTCGTTCTCGTACCAGGCGACCGTGTTGTCGAAGTAGGACGCCGACAGCGCGTCGACGCCGCCGTTGCCGTCGACGTCGATCGCGAAGACGGAGTAGGCGTAGTCCGCCGAGTTCGTGATGACGCGCTCGGTGAAAGCCTCGGACCCGTCGTTCTCGTACCACGCGACAGTATCGTCCAAGGCGGACGCCGACAGCGCGTCGACGTCGCCGTCGCCGTCGACGTCCATCGCGTAGACGGAGACGGCGCCGTCCGCCGTGTTCGTGATGACGCGCTGCGTGAAGGACTGGGACCCGTCGTTCTCGTACCACGCGACCGTGTCGTCGTCCCAGATCGCGGAAAGCGCGTCCGTGTCGCCGTCGCCGTCGACGTCGATGGCGAAGACCCAGATGGTGGCGTCCGCCGAGTCCGTGATCACGCGCGCGGTGAAGGACTCGGACCCGTCGTTCTGGTACCACGCGACCGTGTCGTCATACTGCACTGCCGCGAGCGCGTCGACGTCGCCGTCGCCGTCGACGTCGATCGCGAAGACGCAGCGGACGCCGTCCGCCGCGTTCTTGATGACGCGCGCCGCGAACGCTTGCGATCCGTCGTTCTCGTGCCACCTGACCGTGTCGTCGTAGGAGGACGCCGACAGCACGTCGACGTCGCCGTCGCCGTCGACGTCGATCGCGAAGACGGAGAAGGCGCCATCCGCCGAGTTCGTGATGACGCGCTTCGTGAAGGACTCGGACCCGTCGTTCTCGTACCACGCGACGGTGTCGTCGTCGCGGGACGCCGACAGCACGTCGACGTCGCCGTCGCCGTCGACGTCGAACGCGAAGACTTGTCTCACGACGTCCGCCAGCGTCGTTATGACGGTCTTCGTGAACGAGACGCTCGCGCAGTTGGCCGTCGGCCGCGGCGTCGGCGTCGCCGTCGGCGCGTGCGTGCCGCAGTCGTTCTCGTACCACGCGACCGTGTCGTCGTCGCCCGACGCCGACAGCGCGTCGACGTCGCCGTCGCCGTCGACGTCGAGCGCGAAGACGGATTTGGCGCCATTTGCCAGCGTCGTGATGATGTGTTCGGTGAAGGACTGGGAGCCGTCGTTCTCGTACCACGCGACCGTGTCGTCGTCGCCCGACGCCGACAGCGCGTCGACGTCGCCGTCGCCGTCGACGTCGAGCGCGAAGACGGAGTAGGCGGCGTCCGCCGAGTTTGTGATGACGCGCTCGGTGAAGGACTCGGTCCCGTCGTTCTCGTACCACGCGACCGTGTCGTCGAGCTGGGACGCCGAGAGCGCGTCGACGTCGCCGTCGCCGTCGACGTCGAGCGCGAAGACGGAGCGGGCGAAGTCCGCGAGTGCCGTGATGATGCGCTGCGTGAAGGACTGGGACCCGTCGTTCTCGTACCAGGCGACCGTGTCGTCGACCCCGGACGCCGAGAGCGCGTCGACGTCGCCGTCGCCGTCGACGTCGATCGCGAAGACGGAGTGGGCGGCGTCGGCGGCGGCGCTGATGACGTGCGCCGCGAAGACGGAGGAGGCGCCGCAGTCCTCGGAGCCGCCGTAGAAGGTCGCCCCGCTGTCGTACGCGTCGTCGTGCGCGACGCACGCGAGCTCGAGCGTCGCGCAGTCCCAGCTCCCGCCGCTCCCGTAAGCGGCGACGCCGGCCGAGCTCGGGTCGTCGAGGCACCAGTACGAGCCGTCCACGGTCCCGTCGCAGTAGGTCTGGACCTGGGCGAGGCTGTTGCAGTCGGCGCCGCCGAGCGTCACGGCGCACGAGCACGCCTCCGCCGGGCCGCTCTCGTACCACTCGACGTCGTCGCCGACGTACGTCGCCGACAGCGCGTCGACGTCGCCGTCGCCGTCGACGTCGACGGCGTAGACGGAGCGGGCGCCGTCCGCCGAGTTCGTGATGACGCGCTCCGTGAAGGACTGGGAGCCGTCGTTCTCGTACCACGCGACGGTGTCGTCGCTGTAGGACGCCGACAGCGCGTCGACGTCGCCGTCGCCGTCGACGTCGATCGCGAAGACGGAGCCGGCGTTGTCCGCCGAGTCGGTGATGACGCGCTCGGCGAAGGACTGGGAGCCGTCGTTGTCGTACCACGCGACCGTGTCGTCGTTGGTAGACGCCGACAGCACGTCGACGTCGCCGTCGCCGTCGACGTCGATGGCGAAGACGGCATGGGCGTAGTCCGCCGAGTCGGTGACGACGCGCTCGGCGAACGCGACGCTCGCGCAGGTCTGGGCCGCGGCGCCGGCGGCGAACCAGAGGAGCGCGCCGAGCGGCTGGAACCGCCCCCGGCGCGCCATCGTCTGCGCTTCTTATTGGAGTTTCATCCAATGGTTTCATCGAAGGTTGATCACGCAGATTCGGGGTTGTGGGTGACGTGCTGAACCTCGAACTTCGACAACAGTGACGCTCTTGAACAAAATGAGCACAATGCGAACCATCCTGTGCAGCGCGGCGCTGCTCACTGCAGCCAATGCCTTCACAGCACCGGCGCGACGCCTGTCGACCGTGGCGCGGCGTGCGACCGTCGCCGAGTGGCGCGACGCCTGCGGCGACGGCGTCGTGAGCTACGCGGACTTTGGGCTGAGGCTCACGCCCTACCTGTCGAGCGCCTCGGCGGCGGACGTGGGCCGCGAGCCGGGCTCCTGCGACCCCTGGGACCCGAAGTCGCCCGAGTACTGCAGCCCGACGGCGCCGGCGAAGGAAAAAAAGACGCTCCGCCTCTTCGCGCTCTTCACTTTGTGGTACGCGCTCAACACGGGCTACAACATCGGCAACAAGATGGTCCTCAACGCCCTCCCCATCCCCTGGACGTCGGCGACCATCGAGCTCTTCTTCGGCCTGCCCTACGTGGGCCTGCTCTGGGCGAGCGGCCTCCGGAAGGCGCCGTCGCTCTCCGCGGCGAACGTGCGGACGCTCTGCCCGTCCGCGTTCTTCCTCGCGTGCACGCACGTCGCCGGCGTCATCTCCTTCGGCGCCGGCGCGATCTCCTTCACGCACATCCTCAAGGCGACGGAGCCCGTCTGGTCCGCGCTCATCTCCGCGGTCGTCTTCCGCGAGGTGCTCCCGCTGCCGGTGCTCGCGACGCTCGTGCCCATCATCGGCGGCGTCGGCCTCGCGTCGCTCAAGGAGCTGTCCTTCACGACCGTGGGCTTCGTCGCCGGCACGCTGTCCGCGGTGACGTCCGCGTCCAAGGCCATCTTCTCGAAGAAGGTCCTCGACGGCAAGCCCCTCGGCAAGAACCTCACGCCGGCGAACATGTTCGCCGTGCTGACGATCCTCGGCTTCCTCATGATCCTGCCCGCGTCCCTCGCCGTCGAGGGCCCGGGGACCGTCGCGGCGGCCTGGGCCGCCGCGCGCGCGGACGGCCACTCGGCGCTCGAGCTCTGGGGCCTCCTCGGCGCGAGCGGCTTCCTCTACTACCTCTACAACGAGGTCGCCTTCCTCGCGCTCTCCGAGGTCGGCCCGCTCACGCACGCCGTGACGAACACGGTGAAGCGCGTCGTCATCATCCTCGCGTCCGTCGTCGTCTTCCAGACGCCCATCACGCCGCTCGGCTGCCTCGGGTCCGGCGTCGCCATCGCCGGCGCGCTCCTCTACTCCCTCGCCAAGCGCAAGTACTAGCCGCCCCCCCGCCTAACTCCCCGCTAGGGCCGCGACGCGACGTGCGCGATGATCGCGTGGCAGAAGTCGACGAGGTCCGCGGGCGTGCGGCTCGACACGAGCGGGCCGTCGACGACGACGGCCGCGTCGACGAAGGTCGCGCCGGCGTTGACGACGTCGTCCTTGATGGCCGCGAAGGCCGTGCAGCGCCGGCCCTTGGCCACGGGGTCGCCCGTCGGAGTGGCGCGCGGAGGCAGATCGCCGCGACGCACTTGCCCGCCTCGACGCAGGCGACGACGGCCCGGAGCATGCCCGCGCTCCGCCGCATGTAGTCCGGCGCGAAGCCGCCGGGCAGCACGAGGCCGTCGAGCGCGGCGACGTCGAGGTCGTCGATCGCGACGTGCGACTTGACGGGGTAGCCGTACTTGCCCGTGTACTTCGTGCCGGCCGGGTGCGCGCCGACGACGAGCACCTCGGCGCCCTCCTCCTCGAGGCGCAGCTTCGGGAACGTGACCTCGAGGTCCTCGAAGGCGTAGTCGACGAAGATGGCGACGCGCTTCCCGAGCAGGCGCTGCGGGAACTCCATGACGAGGCTCGTCGGCACCGGCGGCGGCGCCGGCTCCTTGGCTCGAGCGAGGGGAAGGCCGTAAAAGTCGCCAGCCATGCAAGGAGCGTCGAGAGAAGCGGCGCGGTGCGAGCGCAGCAGTGCGAGCCTCGCGCCCAGCCTTTGCTGACCAAATTTTAGGTCGGCGTTGCACCGCGTATGGCGACGGTGCAGCCGCAGCCCAGCGTTGGGCACCCCTCCAGCCCCCCCTGCGCGCCACCGCCATGCCGCCGAAGAAGAAGAAGAAGGGCCGCAAGTCGCGGTCGTCGACGCCCGGGGGCCAGGACACGGTGGGCGCGACGCTCAAGGCGCGCCTCGAGGAGGTGACCGCGGAGTACGAGGCCGGCGTCGCCCGGCGCGAGGCGCTCGGCAAGGCGCGCCTCGAGCGCATGGAGGTCCTGGCGGCGCTGGAGGCGGAGGCGGAGCTGCGGCGGCGCGGGCAGGACGACGCCGGCGAGCGGGCGCTGGAGCGGCACGAGGAGGCGGTCTCCGACTTGGAGGGGAGAATCGACGAGCTGTCCGCGGAGCGCGCGACGCTCGAGGTCGAGCTCGGCGCGCTCGACCTCGCCGTGGGCACGAACGAGCGCCTGCGGCACGAGGTCTTCGACGCGCGGCGCGCCTTCGAGAAGGAGGACGGCCTCATGGGCGGCGAGGAGGCGCGCGTCAAGGAGGCGTCGTTCGAGATGCGGATGCAGATCGAGGGCCTGAGCCGCCGCACGCTCCGCGACCTGGACAGCGACTACAAGGCGTCGGCGGAGCAGAACATCGAGCTCGAGGCGCGCACCGCCGCGGAGCACAACCGGGAGCTGAGCAAGCGCCTGGAGGCGCGGAGTTTGGAGGCCGTCGAGCTGCTGGCGGCGCAGTCGGGCCGCGCGAAGCGGCTCCGGGACACGCGCGTCGTCCGCGAGATGCTCGCCGACGCGAAGCGCGAGCACGACGCGCGCATCGACAAGATCACGCGCCAGAAGGCGCGCGCGGAGTCGACGGCAGGGCAGGAAAAGAGAGCGAAATTCCCAACTTCAAAGGCTCCTATCTCGGCCGTTTTCCACTCGTTTCGGCTGATTTTTGGACGAGCGATCATCTCTTGGAACGGTCTCGAAGCGTGGATGCTTTTTCCGGAACGCGCGCGCGCGGAACACCCACGTTGAAGCGAACTTGAATCTCTCTTTTCCTGCCCAGGTCGACGGCCATCGAGAAGAACGCGGACATCGCGGACGCGCACGCGGCGCTCCGCGCGGCGCAGCGCCAGCGCGACGTCGCCGTCGAGGCCGCGAAGCGCCTCGCTTATTTACACGCGAAGCTCGACCAGACGCGCGCGTCGACGGTGCGGCGGCGGTCGCGCGCGCTCGCGCTCGCGCGCGCGCTCGACAAGTGCGCGGTCGACTTCGAGGCGCGCGCGGCGCTCGGCGCGCCGCCGCCGACCATCGCCGTCGACGCCGACTACCCGCGCCTCGTCGACACGCCCACGCGCGCGCCGCGCGCGCTCGGCGACGACGAGGGCGACGCGTCCGCGACGACGGCGGACGACGACGACGACGACGGCGGCGGCCTCGGCGGGGACCACTTCTCGAACCTCGCCTGCATCCGCATGTGGAACTCGCGCCTCGCGTAAAAGGACTCGGCGTGGACCGCGGGACATGGTGCTGCCAAATTGACCTCGAATTGAAGTGCACTTTGAAGTTGCAAGAGTGGCAGAGCACTATCTGACTCCAGGAGCACTTGGATGGCAAAGCACAATCTGCGGCGCGCGCCGCTCGTGCTCGCATGGATGGCCTTGCAAGCCCGGGGCCTCGCGGAGCGGCGGCGCGTGCTGCAGGGCGGCGGCTGCGCAGCGGCCGCATCGCTCTGGCCCGGCGGCGCCGCCGCCGCCGCGCCGCTGCCGACCTGGGACCTGGGCAACGGCGTCGCGATGCCGACGCTGGCCCTGAACACCGTCGGGCTCACCGTCGAGTCGACGGAGCGCGCGGTGCTCGCGGCGCTCGACGCCGGCGTCTCGCACGTCGACTTCCACCCGGGCGTCGAGCGCGACGGCGTCGCGCGCGCGCTCCGGCGGGCGCCGCGGGGCTCGCTCTTCCTCACGACGAAGGTGCAGTCGCAGCAGGGGAACCCGGGCGTCAGTCCCGCGGCGGCCGCGGACCTGTGCCGCCGGCAGATCGACGCCGACCGGCGCGCGCTCGGCGTCGACGCATTGGACATGTGGCTCGTCCGCGATTCTCCGAACTGCGACGTCGTGCGGAGCCAGTGGGCCGTGCTCGAGGACGCGCGGCGGCGGGGGGCCGTGCGGGCCATCGGCACGGTCAACTTCTGCGAAGCGCAGCTCGACTGCCTCCTCGCGACGGCGGACGTCGCGCCCGCGGTCAACTACTACATGCTGCACGTGGGCATGGGCGCCGACGCGCACGGGCTCCGGTCCCACGGCGAGGCGCGCGGCGTCCGGACCTTCGCCTACGGCGCGCTGGGGGAACCGGGGCCGAGCGCCGACCTCCTCGCGGACGGCCCCCTCGCGCGCGTCGGTGCCAAGTACGGCAAATCGCCCGAGGAGGTCGCGGTGCGCTGGCTCACGCAGATCGGCGTCGCCGTGTCCGCGCGGCCGACGACGCGCTTCGGCCTCGGCGTCAGCGCCTGCGACGGCGACGGCTCCTGCGCGGCCGGGCTCCGCAAGCGCGCGGCGACCTTCGACTGGACCCTGTCCAAGGCCGACGTCGCGGCGCTCTCGAAGCTCGCGGCGCCGGACTCGCCGACGCCCGCGCTCTTCTCCAAGGCCTGCAACCCGGACCTGGGCACGGGCAGCGCCAGGGACCCGCTCCGCGTGCTCTAAAAAGCGGCGATTACCCGCCGAGGCACCGATCGCACGCGGGCCAGGACGCGTTCGCGCACCACGGCTCCGCGCAGGTCCGCCGCCAGGGCTCGGGCGGCAGCGCGAGCCCCGCGGCGGCGAGGATGCGCGCCGACGCGTTGGCGACGTCGGCGACGTAGGCGTCGAAGGGCAGCTCGAGCCGGGGCCGGCCCGCGCGGTCGAGCGCCTCGCGCGCGAAGCGGAAGCGCGCGGCGACCCTGCGCTCGTAGTCGCGCGTCGCCGCGTCGGGCCGGCAGGCGTCCTTCGCCGCCGCGTGGGCGTCCGGCGTGTGGCCCCAGTCGCCGTGGGCCCGCGCGTTGTCGAGGGAGCAGCGCGCGGCCGCGGCGTCGCGCTCGAGGAGCACCGCGGCGACGCCCGGCGCCGTCACGAGCTCCGCGAACTTGGGGTCGCGGTCGCCCTCGACGAAGTTGTCGACGTGGAGCTTCAACGCGACGACGCAGGTGTCGCCGCAGGCGTCGCGCACGACGGCGGGCCGCGATTCGCAGAACTTGGCCCGCGCGGCCGTCGCGTCGCCGAGCCAGTCGTCGTGGCCGAGGCCCTTCTTCGGCCGCCCGCGTTTCAGCACCGTCGGCAGGTCCAGGAAGTCGCTCGGGTGGCTGCCCTTGGCGTACTTGGGGAAGCCGGACGGGAACTTGTCGTAGTGGAGCAGCTCGTTGAACGACGCGCCGCACGGGTGGTCGCCGACGACCTCGGCCGCCTCCGTGGACGCGGACCGCCGCGTGGAGACGACGACGACGAGCTCGGCGGCCGCGCCGCCCAGGGTCCAGGGCGCCCCGGCGGCCCGCGCGACGCCGCCGGCGGACGCGAGGCGCCGCCGCGGTGGCCCGTCGGCGCCGCGGGGCCGGTCGAGCTCTCTGAGCAGCGCCGCGTAGGGCCCGCCGCTCCGGATGCCCGCCGCCGCCGCCCCGAGCACGCGCCGGCAGTCCGGCTCGTCGAGCACGGTGCGGTCGTCCGCGCGGGGCAGCGCGCCCGCGAGGTCGCCGGTCGCGGCCTCCTCCGCGTGCAATTTTCGGAAGACGTCGCCCGGCTTCGCGTTCTTCGGCGCCTGCGTGGCAATCAAATCTTCAACCCGACTTCAATGTGCGCGTATGCGACATCTTCGACGCAAGATCTTGAGCAGCGCTTCGAGAACTCGACGAGAGCAATCGATCCGTCCAAAAATCAGCCGAATCGACTTCGATGTGACCGAGCTCGAGAGGTTTGAAGTTTTCGCTGGACGGGGCGTTCCACTGGTTGATTTCCACACAGTTCGGCGCGTGCGCGGTCACGGGCCCCGGCGGCGGCACGCCGCAGGGCCGGTCCCGCCGCAGGAAGCCCAGGGCCTTTTGTTTCCGCGCGACCTTGGTCAGCGGCGCGCCGCCGACCTGGGCAGCAAAAGGGTGATTCAACGTCGCTTCAACGTGAGTGTTCCGCGCGCGCGCGTTCCGAGAGAAGCATCCACGCTTCGAGACCGTTCCGAGAGATGATCGCTCGTCCAAAAATCAGCCGAAACGAGTGAAAAATGGCCGAGATCGAAGCCTTTGAAGTTGGGAATTTCGCTCTCTTTTGCTGCCCTGCCGCCGACGGCGTTGTTCCGCACGTCGTCGTAGGCCACGTAGAACGACGGCGGCAGGGGCAGGAAGTTCGGCGACGCGCGGAACTCGACGCCGTCCTCGGCGAGGCAGTGGGGCAGCAGCTTGTCGCTCTGCGGGAAGGCCTCGCTGAACTCGCCGCGGCGCTGGAGGCACCGCGTCGGGCACGCGCCGCCCGCGAGCAGGCCCCGGCGGCCGAAGAGCCAGCCGCCGCCGCCGCAGAGCCGCGCGCCGAGGTCGCTGCGGCCGTGGACCTCGGCGCAGGGCGCGCCCCAGTAGGCCCGCGCGTCCGGCAGGGCCGCGACGTAGCGCCGCAGGGCGCCCGCCGCGAGGTACGCGTCGTCGTCGAGCGTCAGCGCCCATCGGAAGGGCCGCCGCGCGGCGAGCCAGGCGGCGAACTGCAGCCCCACGGGCCAGCGGAGCTGGGCGAGCTCGTAGCCGTTGGCTTTCGACGCCTCGTAGCGGGCCTGCCGCGGGAAGGCGCCCCACGCGCCCGGGGGCAGCCCTGCGAGCCGTAATGTCACCGTGGGGACCGTACCGTCGCTGCCGCAGGCGTCGGAGAGCAGCACGAGCGACGCGGACACGCGGCGGCCCCAGGTCGGCAGGATCATGGCGCCGACGCGCTTCTTCCACGTCGCCTGGCCCGTGACGACCATGACGAGCAGCTCGCTCGCGTCGAGGCGGCCCGTCCAGGCTTCGACGTCGCCGCCGCAGGCGCTCCAGAGCCGCGGGCACGTGCCGTTCGTCCCCGCGTCCCAGTCGTCCGCCGCGGACGCGAGCGCGAAGGCCGCGAGAACGGATGCGCGAAGCATTGCTATTCACGGCGCCATCGCGATGGGATGCCAGTTGTGAAGTTCACGAAAAATGGTTTGACTTTCAAGCTGCATATCGATCCGTATGGGCCCGGACCTGCGCGCCTAGCTCGTAGGGCTAGGCACGATGGACGCGGCGACGCTCGTGCTCGAGCCGCTGAAACGCGCGTCGACGAGCTCGTCGCGCCACACGGACGACGGTTCGTCGCCCGCCGACGCCGTCGCCGTCGACGGGAGCCGCTGCGTGCTGGGCCGCGCCGGCGGCGACTCCGTCGTGGCCGGCGTGACGACGCTCAACGTGTCGCGGGAGCAGGTCGCGCTCGAGCGGTGCGAGGGCGGCTGGCGCGCGACGCAGCGGGGCATGAACCCGTCCTGCGTGATCGCGGACGACGGCGTCCACGTGCTGCGCCGCGGCGAGTCGCGGCTCCTCCAGGACGGCGACGACGTCGTCCTCGACGGCAACTCGCTCATGGGCCGCGTGCGCAAGCAGGGCGGCTTCTGCGACGGCTTCCGCGTGCGGACGCGCGCGCCCGAGCCCGCGAGCCTCCTCGCGGCGAAGGACGCGGAGATCCGCGAACTGAAGCGGAAGCTCGAGGAGGCCGCGCGGCGGCCGCCGCGGCCCACGGTCATCCCGCGCGACGAGACGCCGCCGCCCGCCGTGGCCGTCCGGGCGACGGTCGTCGGCGGCGCGGACGCGTCGGTCGAGGCGCGGCCCCTCGCGGGCGAGACCGTCGGCGACCTCCGGCGGTCGCTCGCGGCCACGACGGGGCTCGCGCCGCCCTTCAAGGTCATCTTCCGCCAGCGCGTGCTCGACGACGACGCCGCGACGCTCGAGGGCGTCGGGCTCGTCGAGGACGCGGCCGTCGTCGTCGTCGCGGCGCCCTTCAGGGTCCGCGCGAGGGTCGTCGGCGGCGCCGAAGTCGCGGTCGACGCGCAGCGGACGCACGCCGTCGCGGCGCTCAAGGCGGCCATCGCCGGCGCGGCGGCGCTGACCGCGCCCTTCACGGTCATCTTCCGCCAGCGGCCGCTCGCCGACGACGCCGCGACGCTCGCCGACGAGGGCTTCGACGGCGACGCGGACGTCGTCGTCGTCGCCGCGCGCGCGGCGCCGCGGCCCGCGCGCTTCCGCTTCGCGGCGACGAACGCCGCGGTCGACGCCGACGCGCGCGCCGGCGCGACGGTCCGCGACGTCCTCGCGGCGACGCCGGGCTGCGCGGGCCACGCCGCGTCCTTCGGAGGGCGGCCGCTCGACCCCGACGCGCGCTGGGCCGACCTCGGCCTCGCCGGCGGCGCGGTCGTCGACCTCGCGGCGGCCCCGGCGGCGCCCTTCGCGGTCACGGTGAGGACGGCCGCGGGCGACGTCCGCGTCGAAACCGCGGCGGACGACGCCGTCGACGCCGTCGTCGCCCGCGTCGACGGCTGCGCGGGCCTCGTCTTCGCGGGCGCGCGCCTCGACGGGGCCGCGCCCCTGTCGCACTACAACGTCCAGAAGGGCCACGTGCTCCTCGCCGTGCCCGCGGCGGCGCCGGCCGACGCGCGGCGCGGCCTCCTCGACAGCTCCGACGACGACGACGACGGCGCCGCCGCCGCCGACGGCGCCGACGACGCCGACGACGCCGCGGCCGCCGCGCCGCCGCCCGCGGCCGCCGCGCCGCCGCCGGCCGCGCCGCCGCCGGCCGCGCCGCCACCGGCCGCGCCGTCGCGCTGGCCCCTCGCGGGCGCGCGCAAGGTCTTCGCCGTGTTCTCGCGGAACTGCCCGCCGAAGCTCTGCGCGATCCTCGGCGAGCTCCCGTGTGGAATTCAAATCTTCAACCCGACTTCAATGTGAGATTGTTCGACGGTTTGGACACAAGCTCTTCGGCTGCGCTTCGAGAGCTCAGCGAAAGCCATCGGTTCGTCCAAAAATCAGCCGAATCGACTTCGATTCGACCGAGCTAGAGAGGTGTGAAGTTTGGTCAGGACCGCCCACACCAGTGGTTGCATTCCTCACAGGCAAGCTCGTCGAGGACCTCGGCGGGTCCGTGGACTGCGCCGTCAGCGGCGACCGCTACGACGCCGCGCGCATCGGGCGGGACCGCGGCGGCTGCGGCGTCTCGCGGCGGACGACGCACGTCATCGTGAGCGACGACGAGGCGCGGCGCCAGCTCCGGTGCCGCGACGGCGGCCCGGGGCGGCGCCGGGAGCTGCTGGCCTACCTCGGCTTCGACCCGGCGGGCGGCGACGCCGGCGACCGGCTCTGGTTCGTGTCCCAGGGCTGGGCGCACGCGTCGCGCGGCGGCCGCGCCGACCTGTGTGGAAATCAACCACTGGTTTGGGGGGTCCCAACCGAACTTCAGAACTCTCTATCTCGGTCAAATCGAAGTCGATTCGGCTGATTTTTGGACGAATCGATTGCTCTCATCGAGTTCTCGAAGCACAGCAGAAAGCCTCGCGTCGAAACGGTCGCATACGCGCACATTGAAGTCGGGTTGAAGATTTGATTTCCACACAGGCGCCGACGAGCGCGACTTCCTCGCGACGCCGGGCCTCGCGCCGTCGGCGCTGCCGGAGCCCGTCGCCGCGGACGCACCGCCGCCGGCGGCGGCGCCCGCGGAGGTCGGCGCGGCGACGAAGCACGCGCTGGCCGCGATCCGGCGCGACGCGGAGGAGGCGGCCGGCGACGTTGAAGCGCGGCGCGCGGCGCGCGACGCGGGCGCGGCGACGCTCGAGGAGCTCCGGCCGTCGGCGCGCTACACGGGCCTGCGGCGCCTCGAGGGGCCGGCCAAGGCCTGGCGACCGGACGGCGACCGGCCGCGCGCGCACCGGCCGGCGAATACGAGGGCTTTGGACGCGTCCTTGGGCGACGCCGCGCGGCTCGAGGTCGACGTCGGCGGCGAGGCCGCGCTGCTCCGGGGCCCGTCGGTGCGCCTCGCGGACTACCTCGCGCTCTGCGCGCACGTCCGGGGCCTCGGCGGCGCGCCGCCGAGCGACCGCGTCGCCCCCGTCTTCGTCTTCTCGCGCGGCCGCGCCGAGTCGCCCTACGTGGACCAGGACCGGCCCCTGGCGCTGGGCGGCCACGCGCCGGGCCGGCTGCGCCACGTCTGGGTCGTCGTCGTGGACCCGGAGGAGCTCGAGGCGTACGCGTCGCGGCACCCGGACGCGCTCTTTCTGGCGCTCCCGCGAGCCGGCCGCGCGGTCGGCTACGCGCGGTCCGTCGCCCAGCGCGTCTGCTCCGTCGGCGCCACGGCCTGCGGCTTCTACTGGAGCGTCGACGACAACGTCGTGCGCTTCCAGAAGTGGGTCGCGACGCGCCAGGGGGGACGGGCCGAGGAGCGGCCGTCGGCCGACTTCTCCAAGTATCTCGAGGCGCTCCTCTACGCGCAGAACCTGCCCGACGCCGCCGAGTACGCGGAGATCGGCTTCCTGCGGCAGCGCGGCACGGCGGTCTGCGTGCGCCAGGCCCACGCGACGAACGTGCTCTCCGTCTACAAGTGCCTCTTGTTGAACAACGGCCTCTTAAGAAGCAAGTCCGTCGCCTACAACCCCGTGCTCAGCCGCTTCGAGGACATCGCTCTATCGCACGCCGCCGTCGCCGCGGGCCTGAAGACGCTCAAGTGCTACGGCTACTCCTACACGGCGGCGAACCTGCAGCGCGGCGGCTGCCAGGGCGGGACGAGAGCGCGACATGCCCGACTTCAAAGGCTCCGATCTCGGCCGTGTTCCACTCGTTTCGGCTGATTTTTGGACGAGCGATCATCTCTCGGAACGGTCTCGAAGCGTGGCTGCTTTTTCCGGAACGCGCGCGCGCGGCACACGCACGTTGAAGCGACGTTGAATCTCCCAGGCGGCTGCGCGAGCCTCCGGTTCCACCTCCGCGGCGACCACGGGCTGACGCGCGACGACGTCGCGGAGCCCCTCGCGCGCACGGGGCCCGTCGCGCCGGACGTCGAGCGCGAGGTGCGGACCATCGTCGACTGGGTCCAGTCCTGGGTCGACCGGGAGAGCTCCGACGTCGCCGGCGGCGAGCTCGTCGAGGCCGGCCGCGACGCCGTCGAGCTCGGCGACTCCGCCTTCGCGCTCGCGGACTGGGCGCCGGCGAGGCGCTGCGGCGGCGTCGACCTGGCCAAAACGACGTTCCGCAGCGAGCTCCTGCCCCACCAGTGGCGCGCGCTCGAGTTCCTCCGCGCCGCGGAGACGGACGCGGCGTTTCGGAGCCGGTGCCGCGCAGGGCGGGACAAGAGAGATTCAACGTCGCTTCAACATGAGTGTTCCGCGCGCGCGCGTTCCGGAAACAGCACCCACGCTTCGAGAGCGCTCCGAGGGATGATCGCTCGTCCAAAAATCAGCCGAAACGAGCGGAACACGACCGAGATAGGAGCCTTTGAAGTTGGGAATTTCGCACCCTTTTCCTGCCCAGGTGCCGCGGCGCCGTCTTAGGCGACGAGCCGGGCCTGGGCAAGACCGTCGTGACGCTCGCCGTGCTCGCGCTCCAGGACGGGGGGTCGAAGACGCTCGTCGTCGCGCCCAAGTCCATCGTGCTCCAGTGGATCGCGGAGGCGGAGAAGCACCTCGCCGTGTGGAAACCAACCGCTGGTTTGGGTGGTCCTGACCAACTTGAGAATTCTCTCGCTCGGTCACATCGAAGTCGATTCGGCTGATTTTTGGACGAATCGATTGCCCTTGTCGAGCTCTCGAAGTCCGGCCGAAGAGCTTGTGTCAAAACATTCGAATACGCGCACGTTGAAGTCGGGTGGAAGATTTGGTTTCCACGCAGGCACCTCGGCGACGCCGACGCGCGGCCGCTCGACGACGCGGCGGACTGCGGCTTCTGGGGCGCCGCGGGCCGGCGGCACGTGTTACGGGTGGCGACCTACGCCTTCGCGACGCGCCACGCGGCGCGGCTCCGCGGCCTCTTCGACCGCGTCGTCTTCGACGAGGCGCACTGCCTGCGGAACGAGAAGACGCGGCGCCACGCGGCGCTCCTCGACGTGGCCAGGCACGCGCCCGTCGTCCACTGCCTCACGGGCACGCCCGTGGTCAACGCGTCGACGGACGTGCTGAGCCTCTTCCGGGTCCTGGGCTACGGCGGCCCGCGGCCCGGCCGCGCGGCGCTCCGGGGGCTCTCGGCGCGGCTCATGCTGCGGCGGCGGCGCTGCGACCCGGCGCCCGACGGCGGGCCGCTCGTGCGGCTCCCGGAGAAGCGCGAGGAGGACGTCGTCGTGCCCTTCGCGACGGCGCGGGAGCGGCGGCGCTACGACCGGCTCCTCGACGACGCGCGGCGCGAGCTCACGCGCGAGCGGGCCGACGCGGGCGCGGCGCGCGCGGCCGCGCTCGTCTACCTGCAGAAGCTCTGCCTCGCCTGCCTCTTCGACGCCGACGACGTCGCCGGCGAGGAGGAGGTCGACGCGGAGGACGACGACGACGACGACGACGGCGGCGGCGGCGACGCGCGCGGGAAGCGGCGGCGGCCCGACGCGGCGCCCGCGCGGTCGACCAAGGTCGGGGCGCTCCTCGCCGTGCTCCGGCGGCCCCGCGTCGAGCGCGCCCTCGTCTTCTCGCGCTTCGCGTCCTTCCTGCGGGCCGCGGAGGCCGCCGCCGCCGCCGCGGGCCTCCGGACGCTGCGCATCGACGGCGCCGTGTCGCTGGCCGCGCGCCAGGCCGCGTGCGAGCGCTTCCAGCGCCGCGACGCGCGGGGCAACGTGGCGCTCTTCATCACCATCGGCGCCGGCGGCGAGGGGCTCAACCTCACGGCCGCGGACGCGGTCGTCCTCTGCGAGCCCTACTGGAACGAGCCCGTCGAGGACCAGGCGGTCGCGCGCGCGCACCGCATCGGCCGCGCGCGGCCCCTGGACGTCGTCCGCCTCCACATCGAGAAGACCGTCGAGGTGCCCATCGCCAAGCTGAAGCGCGACAAGGCCGCCGACGCCGCGCGGTTCCTCGACGCGGACGACGACGACGACGGCGCCGCGGACCGCCGCGCCAAGTCCCGGTCGCTCTCCATCGCCCAGCTGCGCGTCCTCTTCGACCTCGACGACGCCATGGACGAGTCGCCGGACCCCGTCGCGAGCCTCGAGAGCGCGGCGAGCGCCTAACTTGCGTGTTGTGTGGCTCCGACGCGCGCTTCCGACGAGTCGCGGGCCCGCGCGCGCGGCGCGAAGCTCGGAGGCGGCGCGAGACCGGCCACTTGTGCAGAGCTTACGATAATTCTCCACAGCTTCACCCTACTTGAGTAGCGCATTCCCAGGTAGGCGACACCCCCCCAGGCGCACCCCGCCTACAGCTTTGTATTATTATTATTATTATGGGTTTGTAAGCGCTCCGCGCGCGCGTCGCCGGGCTCGACGACGCCGCCGCGACGGTCAAGCTCCGGTCGTAGGACGCGGATCTACGACCCCTTTCCTCACACATCGTTCCTCCGAAGTCCCGGCCCCTTTGGAGGCCAGCACCCAGCGCCGACGCGTGCGGTAGTACGAGTGTATATACACTTGGGGGGCACGCGGGAGTCGATTTATCGAATTTATCGAGTCCATAGCCTAGGTAGTAGGCTAAACACCAAGCGGCTCGTGGAAGAGCCAGAGCGTCAGCGCGTATCGTCTGCGCTTCGACGGCAGCACCTCGTGGCCGTGGAACGAGTCGAAGACGACGGCCGTGCCCGCCTCCGGCGACACCGCGAGCGCGCCGCGGCGGCCGAGCTTGGGCCGCTTCGAGTGCTTGTCGTCGTAGAAGCGGAGCGCGCCGCCGTCGTCGTCGTCCCAGTCCGGGTTCAGGTAGACGATCACCGTCAGCGCCCGCGGGTTCGACGGCGTCGCGTCGACGATCTCGTTGTCGCGGTGCCAGCCGTAGCCCCCGGCGCCCGCGGGGTAGCACGCGAGCCTGTGCCGGAAACAACCAGTGGAACGCCCTGTCCAGCAAAAGCTTCGAATCTCTCTCTCTCGGTCCAAATCGAAGTCGATTCGGCTGATTTTTGGACGGATCGTGTTCTCTCGGCGAGTTCTTTCCGGGGAGCCGAGCTCTCGTGTCGAACCTGTTCGATGCACAGCCTATTGAAGCCGTGTTGCACATGTTTGTTTCCTGCCCAGGCGCGAGCATCGCGGCCTCCGGGCTCTCGAGCCGCCGCCCGAGCCAGCCGCCGTGGCGCGCGTTCAGCGCGTGGGCGAGCCCCCGCTGCCAGGCGATGGCCCGCCTCAGCGCCGGCGGCGCGTGGGCCTCCGCGAGCCAGACGACGCGGTCGTCGCGCGTCCCCGCGACGTTCTGCGCCGTCTCCTCGAGCGCGCCCGCGGCGTCGAGCCTGTGCCGAATTCAACCACCGGTTTGGGACGTCCCGACCAAACTTCAGAATTCTCTCGCTCGGTCACATCGAAGTCGATTCGGCTGACCTTTGGACGAATCGATTGCTCTCGTCGAGGTCTCGAAGCAAAGCCGAAGAGGGTGCGTCGAAACTGTCGCATGCGCTCACATTGAAGTCGGGTCGAAGATTTGAATGCGGCACGGCGTCGAGCGCCGACGCCTCGCGCTCCATGGCCCCGGCCTCCTCGGCGGAGAACGCGTCGGGCGCGACGGCGATGCCCCGGTCCCGGAGCGCCGCGTGGACGGCGCGGTCGCGGACGAAGTCGTCCGACCGCTCGCAGGGGCACGTCGCGGCCGCGGGCGCGCGCTGGTGCCTGGGACGGGCGATGCGACGCCGCTTCGACGCGAGCGTCCCGCGCGCGCGCGTTCCGGAAACAGAAGCATCCGCGCGTCGAGAGCGCTCCGAGAGAGGATCGCTCGTCCAAAAAGCAGCCCGGAGCGAGTGGCACCCGGCCGAGATCGGAGCCCGCGGGACCGTCGCGCGCGTTCGCGGCCCCGGCCGGCGCCGCGTCGTTTCGTGGTGGAAGCGCGAGAACTCCTCGAACTCGTCGAGGAGGGGCTCGCGCCGCCGCGCCTCGCGCTGGCGGCGCAGGATCTCCCGCAGGTCCGGCGCGTCGTCGCCCCGCCGCGCGGCCGCGGCCGGCGGCGGCGGCCGCGCGCGCGTCGACGCCGCGAGCTCCGGCGGGTCCTCCGGCGGCGGCCGCGGCGCGACGCAGCGCAGGGGCTCGAGCATCTTCGCCGACAGCCAGCCCGCGGCGGGCTCGACGATCCGCACCCGCGCGGCGCCCGACGGCAGCACGACGCGGCGGTCGCAGCGCGCGGCCGTCGCCGCGGGCAGGATTCCGACCTTGGGCGAGTCCATGGCCGCGCCCGCGCGCACCTGGGCGGCGCTCCGCAGGCGCGCGACGACCTCGACCGTCGCGAGCTCCTCGACCTCGAAGCCGTCGACGATCGTCGGGGCCTCGACGGCCGGCAGCGCGGCGAAGGCCTCCGCGGCCGCGGCCGCGGCCGCCGCGTCGCGCCTGCGGTGCCGGTCCTCGACGTCGTCGCGGTGCAGCCGCAGCGACGACGCGCCGTCGCGCAGGGATCGCGTCTCGAAGCGGTGGAGCGGCGCGTGGAATGCGGCCATGCTCTCCTAAACTCGGGCTGCTCCCTTCAATGAAGCTTCAGCACCAACCCGGCAGGAATGTGATATTGATCAGTTATGGGCTCAAGGACTCCTCGTGCGTGACGACGTTCAGCGCGGCCCTCGTCCTCGTCGACGATCAAGACAAGCTCCTCAAGGGATGGCTTTGCTCCTGCTCGTCGCCCTCCTCCCAATAACACAGGGCCTGAGTCCGTCGGCGACGCTCTGGGCGTCGAACCGCGGCGAGCTGCTCAACCTCCTGAACCACCCGCTCCAGATCCAGCTCGCGACCGGCGACCTGCCCTACGGCTCGTTCCTGCGCCTCTGCGAGGACCGGGCGACGATCCTCGACGGCCTCGTCGCCGCCGCGGGGACGTCGCCCGCGGCGGCGGGCCTCGCCGCGGCGCGAACGGCGAACGGCGACGCCGTCGCGGCGCTCCGGTCCGCGGCCGCGGCCGCGGGCAAGAGCATCGAGGCCGACGGCGTCGCGTGCTACGGCTGCGGGGGCCCGCACCTGAACATGGACTGCCCGGACGAGCTGGCGCCGTCGAACGCGGCGCGCGCCAGGGCAGGACAAGAGAGCGAAATTCCCAACTTCAAAGCCTCATATCTCGGCCGTTTTCCACTCGTTTCGGCTGATTTTTGGACGAGCGATCATCTCTTGGAACGGTCTCGAAGCGTGGATGCTTTTTCCGGGACGCGCGCGCGCGGAACACTCACGTTGAAGCGACGTTGAATCACTCTTGTCCTGCCCAGGCGCGCGCGCTCGCGGCCGTCGTGCGGACGAGCGGCGGCGCGGCGTCCTTGGCGGGCGTGGGCGACTACCCCTCGTCCCTCGCGGCCGTCGCGGCCGTGACGCGGGCCTACGGCTGGGCCTGCGCGACGGCGCTCGACGCGGAGCTCGGGCCGAGCGCCTACGACGGCTGGCTCGAGGCGCACGGCGACGCGTTCTCGGCCGCCGGCGCGGCCGCGGAGCGCGCGCTCGACGGCGCGTGCGACGACGCCGAGGCCGCGCGGCCGGCCTACGTCGCCGCGCTGTCGGCGCTCTACAACTACGTCGACGCCGAGGCGTCGACGGCGGGGCTCAAGGGCTCCGGCGCGGCGCTCGAAGCCGCGCGGCGGAGGCTCGACGCGGTCGAGCCGGGCTTCCTCGCGGCCCAGGACCGCAACGCGAACTTCGTCAGCGACCTGAAGCGGGAGCTCGTCGGCGGCGCCGACGCGCGCGAGAAGGCCGCGGGCGACAAGATGGCCGCGGCGGCGGCGTACCTCGCGAAGCAGGGCGGCGCCGCGGGCGACGCGCGCGCCAAGGCCGCGGCGTACCTCGCGGCGAAGAAGCAGGCGCCTTAGAATCGCGTCGACCGGGGGCCGCGCCGCGCCGGGGACGCGCCGCGCGGCGACGCGAGGGGCAGGTTCCAGGCCTCCGTGTCGCTGAGGCCGACGCGGTCGAGCGCGGCCCGTCGGTCGTCGCCCCCGAGCCGCCGGAGCAGCACCTTGAGGACGTCGCCGCGGACCATGGGCTGGCAGGCCCCCGCGGCGGCGACGACGCCGTCGACGCCGAGGGCGCCGCGCCACGCGGGCGGCAGCTCGCCCGCGGACTCCGCGACGGCGAGCGCCTCCGCGAGCCCCTTGGCGACGTCCGCGGCGTAGAACGAGAGCCGCAGGCCTGTGCCGGAGACAACCAGTGGAACGCCGGTCCAGCAAAAACTTCAAACCTCGCTAGCTCGGTCACATCGGAGTCGATTCGACTGATTTTTGGACGGATCGTTTTCTCTCGGCGAGTTCTTCTTACACAGTGAGAAAAGTACGTCAAATCCGTTCGAATACATGAATGTTGAAGTATTGTTGAATAGTTTTGTTTCCTGCCCAGGCGCAGGCTCGCGAAGAGCGTCGCGAGCTGGGGCGGCGTCGGCGGGAGCGACCCGGGCGCGCGCGCGAGCGCGGCGACGAAGCCCGCGGTGCGCCTGCGCGGACGTCATCTTCGACCCGACTTCGACGCGCGCGTCTTCGAAATTGCTCAAGACCCCCCGAGACGTTTCCGCGCGGCGGCGCGCTCGGCGATCGACGTCGCGCCGTCCCTGCGCAGGGCGGCGAGCAGGCCCTCGACGTCGAAGGGCGGCGGCAGGAAGGCGTGCGCCTCGGGCGTCGCGCGGCGCCTAGGCGACGCGGGGTCGCGCGTCCGCCGGACGGGGCGCGGCGCGGCGCGGCGTTTCGCGGGCTGCCCCCGAACTCGACGAGCCGCGCGCGGACGACGAGGCCGTCCGGGTTCCGCAGCTCCAGCTCGTCGCCCGGCGCGGCGTCCTGCGGCACGTGCGCCGAGTAGGTCGCCATCTCCATGGCCGCCTCGAGCGCGTCGAGGTCCGTCGCGCTCGCGTAGACCGTCTGCTCCAGGGCGTCGAGGTCCAGCTCCCGGGCCTTTTGCTCGTCGCGCCGGCCCGGCCGGCCGCCGCCGCCGGG